CTCTGAATGACAATTATCACAAACTTAATAGCTTAAACTAACATTGTTTATTATCTTACAGTCTCTGTAGGTTAGAAGTCCAGGCAAGGCTTCGCTGGGTTCTCTGAGCAGGATCTTTAAAGGCTGAAATCAAAGTGTCAACCAGACCAGTTTCTTATTAGGAAGCTCAACTAGAAAAGAGTCTGCTTCCAAGCTCCCTCTGGTTGTTGGCAGAATTCATTGCCTTGCAGCTATAGAACTCCTGGCAAGCTTGTTTTCTCGAAGCCAGCAATGAGGGAGAGAGGTTCTGTATCGTTGCAAGTATCTGATCTCCAGATGTTCTTTTAAGGTGCTCCCTGATTAGATTAGGCCAAAACAGGATAATCTCCCTTTTAATAAACTTAAAGCCAACTGATTAGGGACTTTTAATCACATCTACAAAACTCCTTAACCTTTGCCATATAGTATAACCTAATCAAGAGAGGCACATCTCATCATCTGTCACATTCTGTTAATTAGAAACAAGTCGCAGGTTCTAGGGAGGGGACTATATAGGAGTGTGGGCCATTGGGTATAATCCCACCTGTCCACAACACGGCTAGAGCCTTGACTTTGTCTAAAGTATGTTCTTTCTCCAAAAAACCCCACAAAATCTAAATTTTAACATTTGTTCAGTCTTGATGTTGTAGACACAGATTTCCATTATATTGTTTCTGGGCTTTTCTTTATCATTGAAATAGTTCAAAATGTAAGCAACAAATTTTTTAAATTAATAAGTAAGCTCACCAATAACAGACAGTTCAAATAGACCAAGAGAAATAGATAAGAAAGGAGAAAAGGATCTGACTTGAAGACATTATCACTTTGTCTGACCTCTGGATTCTGAGGGTCCAAAGCAGTGTCTTGATGGCCCCTTTTTGGCCTTTTTTTAAAAACCAGTGGGCCCATGAATCCAGCATCCAACCTTCTCACCCAACTAACAAAATACATCTGTGTCAGGTTTTTATTTGATGAAACAAGATAAACTCCTTTGGTTCCCGTCTGCTGATGTTAGTAACTGAACAGCATCTGGGTTATTCTCAGAGTTGCCATCTAAGAGGCCCTGCAAAT